GAGGAATGTAAACAGAATGATTGAGATTTTGTTTTTTGTTTTCGCAATAGTAATAAACAAACATAAGCCTCTGTACCCGATTTACAGAAGGCAAAAGCCATTAAACAATGTTTGTAAAATTGAGCAACATTTCTGTTTACATTCAAATACATATATATATATATATATGTAAATGTACATTATATGGACGGGTAGATGTGTGCATTTAACAACTGAATACACAAATCATAACTATTGCTGCATGCTTATGTGTACGGATGGATTTTGTTAGTAAATAGAAGAAATACGTTATGTCTTTGCACATGCACGTACGTTCGTTCGTTTGTAGAAAAGATGAAAGAAATCTCAGCAGATACTAAACTATGAAAATTGTTTGAAATATTTTTGCTACAGATAAAGCATATATGCATTTAAAACAACAACAACAACAATAATAATAATAACATCAACATTGCAATAACAAAATCCATAAAATATTTAAGATAATGAACGCTACAATGAAAAGAAAATGACTAAGAGAAGAAGAAGAGTAGGAAGAAGAAGAAGAAGAAGATTTTAAAGTAAAAGCAATCGAGAGAGCTGTGTTTCATTTGGGACGAACTCTTAAGTACACACCACTTAAGATGTACAGATTTCTATGAGCTGCAAGCTAAATGGCTAATATAGTTCACTTTGGCATATTCAGTATTCAGATGGTACGAAAAGATATGCAAACTATATCGTCGACATATTTGAAATTGAATCGAAAGTTAAAGAAAAAAAAAAACTTGCTTTGAAAAAATAAAATTTTACTTTCCTTCCTCCCACTTTTTATCGAGAGCGATAAGTAGAATGTTCAGCATATGAGGAGTATAGGGTCTCTAATCAAACAATGTTACAAACGTAACGATATCTTAAATATATCTTATATCCTGTACGAGGTTGTGTATTTTTGTAAAAACACTTTTAACAAGGTAGCGAGAAAGAGCTTTTGAGTCACCACTTTAGCTTAGACTCTTAATACTTTCAAGCGAAAATGCTATAAAAAATGTCTTTTTAGTATTGTATGCAGGACACTTTTTGCAAGCAAAAAAAAAAACCCACCTGTGTTATGTGTATAGAATTCTCTGCCCACTTATTTGACAGACAACATAATGACAGCAGAAAACCGGCAACAACAGCAACAGCAACAACAACAACAACGACAGGCAATCAAATAAATACACACACACATGTCATGTATGCAGGAAGAAACTGGATTTAACACTTGACTTCCAACTAATCTAATTATTGTGTGTTGGTATGTAAGTGAATGACAAATGCAGGCATGTTTGTGTGCATGTATGCATGCATAAACGAGCAGAAGTTGTCAGCTAAAGCATCTGTTTTGACGTTCTTACACAGTTGAGGATGAAAAGTGTATACTAACTATATCATGCCGTTCATAAAATGCCATTAAGTACATGCGGTTTATCTTTATCCGCTTGAAGTTCGAAGTTCGCTTAACTGCATACATAACTCAGCCTGTTGGTAGAAGTTTAACACAAACCCATATCGGTAGAAAAATTTCAACCTTATTTTCATACTTTATATATAAATTTCAAGTGCTAAAATTTAATTCTTACGCGGAATTTTTTCCATCCATCATCAAGATCAAAAAATGAACAAATATTTACGTCTCGTACGTATAACGATCAGATTCATGCAAAAAATGACATCGTAAATGATGTCAATAGCTTACCAGATATGTCTGCAGATACCAATAAACTGATAGACTTGTGAGGAGAAAAACTTGTTGAAAGAAATCCATTATTAATGAATTAATTGCCGTCTGCGATCTTTGTGTTTTAACGAAAATTTATGCCTTATTTTCACTTGAAACATCGTTTCCATTTTTATACCCTACAACACACAGCAACACACAAATATTAAGAGCATGCAGAAGTACCTAGGTTAAGTCAATATTTAATTATATTAATCAGTCTACAGTCATGTTCTCGTTTTAAGCTCCATTTCCAATCCATTTGTCTGTCTGATGTCTGTCCATGTCCTTCTTGTTCAACTTACAGGTCTCTACAAGCTTGGAACTCTAGCAAGTCCAATTAGAAATGGGTGAAGTCATTGTTATCACCATCCCATGTAGGACCTCTTTCTTTAAAAAGCTCGTTATGTGAAGAAAAAGTTGGAAAAATTGGATGGGTCCCCCAATTATTGGAACCCGTGCGATCGTAAAAAAAACTTAAACCTTAAGCCTAGTTTAGTATTTTACCATGAAAATTGGTTCACGACAGCAAAATAGAAAAATATATATAGACTAATGGTAGCAAAGTTAAATCAAATAGGACCATGCTCTGGACCCCATCCTGTATGAGGATTCCCAAGAAAGCGAAATCTTTATATGCCAAAAGTATCTAATATAATTTTCAGTACCTTGAGGAAAATAGATGAAGAGCAAAAAGATTTTTGTAAAAATATTAATTCTGCCAAATTTGGACCACGAGAGTTCAATTCTCCATACATGGGCTCACGGGAATAGCGTTGCTTGTACATAGGGGAACGATCTAATTTACTACGGAAATAAATTGAAAAGTAGCATAGAGTATCATTAGTGGTCGGCCTTGCCCACCTATAATGTTTTTGTTTCCTTACACATGGTCTTTCCGGGAAATATTGAGTATGATAGAACGCAGGCGAGCTGTCGCACTTGCACTCTATATTTAACAAGCACGAAAGTTATATGTAACTATGATCGAATCTTTCATAACCTTTCCCTTTATCGTAAAAAGGCTAAAAAGAAAAATTAAATCTTCGCACTGCATATTAATTGGGTGTGCGTGTTTGACCCTTTGTAATGAGTAAGAAAACCCAAAAGCGGAGGTTTACTGAATTTGTTGCCCGGCAAGCGTGTGCCTTGATTTATTTGACTTAGTTTCAATAGCTACTAGACGACGGGCAAACAGACACCTGTATACCGATTCACAATTTTATGCCGATCAGGAATGCATAGACTTGATAGGCTTCTCTAGAGATTCCTTTCAAAAATTTTGACAAAATGACTAAACTCTCATCGTTGGAAATTACATCGATTAAGTTAAGAAGCATAAACAAGGATTTAACATAGTTGCTTATAAATGTATTACACAAGACAAAGGTGTGTTGTTATTAGGTTCGTCCAACACGTGTCAACAATAAGGGCAGATTGCTCTCTTTTTTTTCAAAACGACTGCATTCATCAACACAGCCTTAAGAGTAAATACAATAGAACGAGTGGTTAAGGCTCTCAAATTAATCTTTAGTTTAGAATACTCTCGCTATAGGATAGGATACTCTTTAGATTTTCAAATAAATAATCTTTGGGGTCCAGATCTGGCAAATATGATGGATGTGCCTGCAATTCGAAGTGCAATTCATGCAATTGGTCCCCAATTTGTGACAAGATGAACTTGTTCCGCTAGGAAGAAATGCTGTGCGCCATTGGAATGCATGTGTTTCATGTCCAAATTTCCATAGTAACGAACACACCAGAATGTCCGCGACTTCACTTTTCGATTATTGGGAATAGTTTTACGTATATTTGGATGTGTGTGGCTTCTAGTCCCTTTTTGTCATTTTAACATAACCGATATCCGTCGATAGTCAGCATAGCGGTAATGCATTGTTTTTACTATGACGCCACTGAGCGAAACATGCGTTTTTTTCTCCATCAAGAAGCAACGTTTACATCATAACGTTACAACAACAACAAAATTCATGTCACTAAACTCCTTCACGAACAACTGATCGAGATGATATGAAATATTAACAGGCGTCGTTTGAGAGCTTGTACGTTATGTGTCAGCCCAGAAGTTGACCGATGTGTGTAAACAACTTTAACAATGTTCATCTATTTTTGAGCTGCTAAAAGCGCCAGATGCCCAACAATTTGGTTAAGAAGTAAAAGCTTAACAAACAGTATACAGATCGAGTTCGCAAAGGAGACGGAACTTGATGCCAATATAACGCCTATACGGGAATTATAGCGAAAGAAACCAAAAACTACAAAAGACACTGTTCAAGAGATATCACTTTGAAATGGGGCAAAAATATATTGCCACAGACGATTCCACGTTTTCATGTTCAACTTAGAATGTGGAAATGTTACTACATGGCCACATTTCAATTTCTTTTCCATATAACGAGTTTTCAAAATAGGGCATTACATGAGGAGTGGTCGAAAAAGTGGACCGATCCGTACCAGTAGCTAAACTCCGTCAGTTTACCAAATTTTATAAAAATATCGCAAAAATTGCGACTTGCAGCTTGAACACAAAAATCGCACGGACAGATTGGCTTAGATCAATTCAGATTATGCTTCTGAATCGATCGGTATAGTAAAAGGTGGGTATCTCTTAACCACTCTTCTGCGTGCTACAAACTACTCCGAACTGACTTAATATACCTTGTACCACATGGCTACAAATATTTCTGACAGGAATAGAGAATATTCGGCTTGAAAATGCATTTTCTAAATTTTGAAGGCTCAGTTGAACAATAACGATTTCCTACCAACAGTGCTTGCTATTAGGAGTGTGAGAGCCATTTAAAAATTCAGTATAAAGATAGGCTTCGATCGCCGGGCTCAAGCACTTAGAATGAAAAGAGAAAGTATTGGATTTGCTTTTAAATACCTTGAAGTGATGAATTGGCATGAAAGTGAATAAAATCTCCGCCTATATTGAATTTTGCTTAAAAAGAGTATTCAAGATTGATCCGTGGGGCGAATAGAGCTTTCTTGCTCACCTCAATTAATATAAGTAGATTTACTATGATTGATTAGTAAAACGCATTAAAGCAAACATTCTTTTCATATGCTTATCTGTAAGCACGCATGCGTACATTTATGTATGTATATGCGGATGTGTTTGCATTTGCATGCGTATTAATTAATAAACAAAAATTTTTTTTAACGTTATACAAGGCGACTTTCTAACTACCGGTTTACCTAACTATTTAAATAAACCATTGCTATCGATACTTTTCAGGTTATGTGGAAAAATATGTGTACAACTGAAATGGTGCTTAATTAAGGCGATCTAACGAATATAAAAACAAAATAAAAAAATGTTTTAAGAAATTTATAGACAAATTACACACACACAAACATAATGAAATATAAAAAATGAACCAAATATTCGATTAATATGAATAGAAGAATAATACGCACATTAAGCTCAAGCGTAGAACTCGGTTACGGTTGTACTAAATCATTAATTACTAAGTAAATATCTTACGATTAAACGCTTTCGTAGTTCTAATATACGTTCAACAAAAAAAAAAATTAGAACGCTTTCAAATCTTGATTTGCGAAGTGTGTGCGTACGCACTTACGAACATATATAATGCCTGCCATGGGTAGTGTTTGGAAACGTTTGCAACGGGTTAATAAACGCGCAGCCAAATTTCAGTTCACTGCCTCTTATCATGAACTGCGTTTGGAAACTACAGCCAAATGGTAAGTTTTTGTTGTTTTGTTTTTTTCTTTTTCCTTTTTTTCTTTTTTAAATTTCAATTAATTGCTTTGAATTTTAAGAGTTAGTTGCATAACCATCCAAAATAGTCAGTAAAATTGATGAATTTATGATTTAAGCGATTCGATAATTATTCATTCATTCGTTATATTCTTTATAGTAAATAAAGCAAAGCAATAAAATCTCAAGCATTTGCTAATAACATGGACTTTTAAATAAGAAGGGGGAAGTATATGCTATTGCTTTGGCGGATGAGCTAATCAATATTGTTAACGTTTAACTAAATAATTAAAATTTTGCAAAAAAAAAGTGATGTGTGGCTTAGATGTGTCGTAACACTTTTTGATGCGGCACGAACCCATTTTACACATTTTCGTCAATTTTAGACCTCTCTGTCCCCGTGACAGCCATAAACATCATTTAAAAGAACGTAGAACGTCTTTGGTAGAAAATATTTTTGCAAGTTTCAAAAAGATCCCTATCAAGGGCGAGGGAGACCTTCTTAAATTAAATCTCATAGTATTATTTCCAAAAGAATCAAGCAATGACTCTTGTCTTCGCTCAGTTGGATTCAAATTTCAAGTTATGTCCAAAAGTCGACCGGTTACTGCCACTTCAAATTTAGTCGTATACAGGGCGACGCATAATCACGACTGACATTGAAACAGATGCATATGAGTTGAGTAAGACTTATGATACCATGCACGCTTTAGTCAAAGCTTAAGCCATCTTTTTGCCAGGAAATAAGTCCGATAAAATTCAATATCGGAGGATCATAGTTTTAGCAAAGCGATGATTAATCTTAATTTTCAGAGGCTGGGTGGAAACGGCTCGTACAATATTCAATACGAGACAGTAATGTGTTGTATGTGTTTTTGTCTGTTCGTATGTCCAGTACAATCTTAAAAAGCCGGGCCGTCCGTTAATTTCTGCCGTTCAGTCTAATCCAGATGTCATCGGTTAAGAAAGAAAGCGTCATCCGAATGCTTGAAAGGCCTCTCGCACTTTAGAAACTTTCCTCTATCAAAGTTTACCGTTCGATAACTTAATTCTTTTCCCCATATTTTAAGTTAGTTTAGAGCATCATGTTTCGATTGCTTTATTTATTTGATAAACAAACACAAAACAGCAACAACAACAACAACAACAAGTAAAAATACTATAATGTGGCCCACGTCATATCCCCATTACTCGTATAAGGAGTTTTTATTATAAGATGCAAATAGGAGAAGTGGTCAAAAGAATGGTCCGATTCGAACCATTTTTACTAGCGCTCATCGGTGGGGCAAAACTCGTCAGTATTCATCATGCCATTAATGCTTTCATCAAAATATTGCCAAAATTGCGGCTTATGTGTTCAACACAAGGAAGTAAAACCGACAGACGGACAAACAAGCTTAGATCGAGTTAGAATATGATTCTGAATCGAGCGCTAAGGTAAAAAGTCAGTCTAATTTAAGTCTATCCGCACAAACTTAATACAGTGCACCACAAGCGGTGTAGGGTACAAATCTATATATATATATATCTACAGCCACGGAAGTAAGCGCCAGCTTTATTAAACTTTGGACAAAGAACTTCGCATTCACATTGGATCGTTCCTATGCAGCACGATGAATCATCCATTATCCATCTGTTGTTTTGATTTGCTGAAGCTTATAAGAAGAAGAAGAAGAAAACAAGAGGACGAAGACAAAGAACAATTGGCTTCGTTTAAACAAAATAATTTATGTTTTCTATAAGAAACGTAAAGATTGCTAGACTGTATTCTCCATATATCTTTTTAATTTTTATAAATAATTAATTAATTAGCGTCTACCATAACTTTTCTCAAGGATTAATGTCAATTGAAAGCTTCTTCTAACTAATTAAAACATGAAACACAATAAAGTTTTGTATAAAATTGCTGCAAAATTTCGTGATTTGTTTGTATCAAACTATATAAAATAAAGAAACTTCAACGAGAAATCTGCTCAAAATGAACTTCATGGGTCTCTTTAGAGCCGCAAGTTTCTTTAAAGCGTGCGCGTGTGCAAAATTGCGAATACGAATTGTTCCTAATAAATATTTAGTGATATTAAACTTCAAGAAAAATGGATGCATTTTAGGCAAACGTCAAATTCAGTGAAGATGATCTTGTAGTTCTTGTCAAGAGAAGAGTGAACAACGTTGCAATTCTCTTTGACAAAAGACATGAGAAATTTATTATTATCCGTTAGCAAAGAGCAGCGACATTTTGTTTCTTCGACTCTTTGAATTCAACGCTCGGCAAAACATCTTCGATGTGTCTTCTTTTGAGCCCATTTTGCTGATTTTAGTTTAAATTCTTCAATAACATTCAGTTTTGAATTGATTTAATTTGAAAATTTATTAAACAGTGATCCGTATTCATTTTATTAAGCTTAGCTTAAGGTTAAATTAGGAGCTTTTTAACTCACTTAGGGTTCTCTCTAAAAATCTAAATGAGTTTTATAACCTTGTTTCCTTATCGGATGCTCTTGTATCCATTAAGATGAGCCGTCTTAATGCCCGTGCCCTGCCGATGTCTTGCTTAAACTGTTATTCGGAAATCTGATACGGAGTTTGATGAGTAACTGATAGACATGTCGGTTATTTTCTAATATGTTGCATCAAGTGCCTGTTGCTTGAATTGTAATTAGGTAAAGTCTTCATATGTATGAATTGTGCAATTCAGCTGAATCTCCGCTGTAGCTGAATTCTGTATTTATGGAAATCAAATAAATAAGTAAATAAATATCAGATCCGAATATATATAAAAGCATTAAAAAAAAAAGAAAACTTAACACTAGCACTACATAGTACGTCGTTTTGGTCTCTTTTTAATTTGCGATCTTTAAAAAGCTAGTTATAAAGCATGTAGTGCTCCAAAATTTTATGGGGACTTTTATTTATATGAAAAGATTTTTAAATGCCTGCAATCACTTTTTTCCTGGCTGGGCTAGTCTTCGCCATGCTGATGACCCGCTATTTGTATCGACTTGCCATAGTCGTAAAAATGCAGACAGCAGGAATCGTATTCCTTGCTCGATTAAGGAGGTGAGAGTAAGAATTTGTGCTTATCCGCAGTAAGAAAGAGACTGAAACAACTTCACAAAAAAAGGCCGACATCATTTTCATATTCTTGTCTATAACTAAGGATCTCGTGAAGGTATTTCTTACAGCCAAATTTGCGTGAAGGTCACCTTTAAACCAATCCCGGTTTGTTAATACGATTCCAATTTAATTCTCATTTACTTTAACACACATTACCATTTCTTCCATCCAACAGCAAATAAATTCGAAATAACGAAATTGAAAACGGACCTGATTACGCGAATTAACGATTCACGCTATCCATATCAGATATGAATATTTACAAAAGCATTAGAAAAAAGATATTTCAACGGAGAATTATCTCGATTGACTTTCTGACACCTTAAGAAAAAAAAAAAAAAATTAAGAAGAAAAAGAAAAACTAAGACGGTTAATATCGAAGTTTCACCTTAAAGCGCAAATATTTTCCTTATCTCATCGCTATTTAGTGTAAAAATAGAGTTAAGCACCTAGTTAACGCCTTTATTTATTTTGTTTTGTTATTCAACAACAAATTGTATTTGTCTTAAAGTGCATGCTTACATTTGTAGGTATATGACTGCATCTCTATTTACATGAATGAAATATTAGGCGACGGAAAGTACGGTAAAGAGATCTAATATTAGATTGTCTAAAAAATATTGAGCTTGCTAAGCTATAGAGCTAGTATTAGTCTATGTTATGAAAATGAATTAAGAAAAAAAAAAAAAACAAAAACAAAAATTAAATGGAAATATTTATATTCTTCTGTTCAAAGCTCAATATTTCTTATCTAAGGCTATCCATCTAATACAGCGAATACATGAACAAGTTTTATTAAACGATTGATGGATGCAAGCTTTAGCTTAGGGCATTGGTTTCAGTATGTCTTGTTTATTTTCTGTTTTTTTTTTTTTTTTTACATTGTTTTTATTATGATTATCATTATTTTTATTTTTATTTATTTTTTTTTACGCTGTAATTTAATGTTTCAAGCAACAGCGAGCTATTTGTTTTATTCTCTTTGTTATTAATGTTGGCAAAATATGTTAATAAGAAATTGCCTTCTTTTTGTTTATCTTCCTGAAAAGAAATGCGCATAATTTAAGAAGACATTTTTCTTTTATTTATTTATTTATTTATTTTTTTTTTTTTTTCGGCGCATACTTAACATAAGTATTTGTGTCAAATATTGAAAACGTGTAGGTTGGCATCTATTAGAGGCTGCGAAAATCGATTTGAAACGTACCTACGCAACAGTCTCTGCTAATGCACTGTTATACGCATTTAAGGCATTGTCTTAACTGCAATTGGCAGCGAGCGCGCGCTTGAACAAATAATTTTTTGAAATTTTTTAAACGAATGTAACACATGTAAGCTACCTTAGTAATTTTTAAACGATAGGAAACATTTTTTTGCATCTAATTGAGCTGAGTAAAAAACGTGATCATTGCTTTAGCTTTTCTCTGACAATTTGCAAAATTTTTGGTTTCAGTTTTCTTAAAGTCAGTCAGTCGGATAAGGCCACGTGTATGTTTTAATTTGTTTTCCAATTTCCTTGAATGCATAAAAATATTCATAAAACTCTCTGCTTTTTGAGTATTTAGTGTTTTTATTGTAAAAGTATCAAGAATGTATGGCATCGCCTTTTTAATTGAACTACAGAAAGGCTTGTTTTTAATGAATTCCAATTGAAATCGAAAATAATTTCAATAAAGAATTGAGAAAAACTTTTCATTTTCTTTTTATTTTTTTTTTTTTTTTGCATTCTCTGCATCAAAAGCCTGATATGACGTAAGTGTAATTGAAAATATTACAGTTAAAGGCTTTCGAGTTAAAGGCTTTCTAAGTATCATTAGACGTTCGATTTTTATTTGAAAACTCTCTCCAACCTCTCGAATGCATTTGTCAT